GGATACCAGGAAGAAGTTCCTGGATCCTGGCTTCGGATCGGCATAGCATCGGCCATTGTGCTCACTTGGGGAGTAAATCATCGGACAGAAGATCTTCCTCTCTGTCTCTCCTCCTCTCTGTATATCTGACTTTCCAATAAATAAATAAATCTTTAAAAAAGAAAGAAAATAGTTTTATTCCTGATTGTTGCCTACTATGTGGATTGGTCTGAGTTGGTAGTTTCCTACAGTGGAGATGGAAGTTTTGTTAGAAAGGATTCAGACATGGATGAAGAACTGGGCTAGAAGACAAAATTCTTACTCTGAAGAGCGCACTCTGAGGCAGCCTACTCCACATGCTGTCTTAAGCTAGGCTGGCTCACAGGGAGTGATAATGCCATACTCAGACATTGGTCTACATTTCCATCACCACATCAGAGGAGGCCAATCACTTCTTCCACAGAATTCCTCTAGCACTTCCTGAGAGTAATGTCTTGGCAACCAGGATAGGCTGCTGGGTGGTGTTACCTACCTACTCCTGAAAATGCCTCTTCAAAATGCCATCTTTGAGTAACAATAAAGAGCCCAATCCTACATTGTTCAAAAATCAAACTCCTTATCCTTTTTTTCTTTTCTTTTTGCTATTTTTGTTTTTAAAGAGTCATTTATTTTCATTTGAAAGGCAGATTTACAGAGAGATTGAGAGAGATCTTCCATTGCTGGTTTACTCCCCAAATGACTGCAATGACTGGAGTTAAACTGATATGAAGCCAAGAGCCAGGGGCTTCCTCCAGTTCTCCCATGTGGTACAGGGGCCCAAGCATTTGAGCCTTTCTCCACCACCTTCCCAGGCCAACAGCAGGGAGCTGGATCAGAAGTGAACCAGCACCCTTAGGGGATGTCAGTACCACAGGAGGAGGATTAGACAACCATTGCTTGGCACTGACCCCTCCTGATTCTTATTTTCTTTCATTTTCTCCCTTCAACCTGCTGCTTGTATAGCCTTAACCATTCTAGTAACTGACAACTCTCTTATTTCAATAGCAAGCTCAAAACTCACGAGGTCCTCCTTGACCACTTTGTCTTTAAGACTTTTCATTCAATCCATCAACTTTGTCAGCTTTGACTTTAAAAGGTATCCATGACTTGATCTCTTCCCGGCCGTTTATAACCATCACACTGCTCTCTGGCACCATCCTCTCACCTGGATTACTGAACTGTGGCCTCCTAAACTCTGTTTCTATTCCTGCCCTTTACAAGTCTAATCCACACCAGCAGCTTGAACAATATTTTTCTAAAATGAGTCATGTCACAGCATCCCTCTGCTCAAAATCTTCCACTAGTTTCCCATGGATCTCTTAACTGAAAGCCAAATGCCTGAGTAAGGACTAAGAATCTCTAAGTAGCCTGGCTCCCAAGTGTGTCTCTGTGACGTTATCTCCAATGACCCTGTCTCTTTGCTGCAGTCACACTGGCCTTCTTGCTACTCTTCAATCATGTCAAGTGCATTGACACCTCAGGGTTTTCCATTTGCTTCTCCTTCTGCCCAGAGCACTCTAACTGCAGGATATTTTGGATCCCTCATTTCCTCCTGTTTCTCCTCAAAGGTAATCTCTTGAGAAGCATTCCTAGACCATTTTATAAAAGAGCCAAGTTCCATCTCAGCTTGGCCACTGCTTTCCCTTATACTTGTTTATTTTCTTTACAGCACTGATTATTACTTGATATGTAACTACTTGTTTTATTTTCTGCCTTCTCACAAGAACACAAATTGCATGAGAGCAGATATGGTTTGCTATTAGCCCTCTGGTGCTTAGATTAGTGCCTGATACATAGTAGAGCTCAATAAATATCTGTGTAATAAATTAATTAATCTGTCCTGCCCTTCCTGTTAGCCTGTTCATTCCCTAGATAAATTTCGTAATTTCACCTTTGTGGTCCTAGAACCTAGTCTTTGGCTGTCTGTCTCGAATACAGTAAGTATTCAGACAATGTTTGCTATAACTGGGACACAATTGGGGCTTTGGAATTCCTCACCTGGTATATGGTGGTACTTCCTAATCCTCTTCTAGGGTTTTGAAGTTCTCTAGCACAAAACCTTGGACATTATGAACATCTACAGGGGACCTCTACTGGATGCTCTAATTGAGTTAGTATCTGACCAAGTCTTTCAGGGTCAGTTCGCTTCACTGTGTTCTTCCATCCTTCCTCCAGCCAGGCTTTCATTTTTAATTCTAGTCAGTTTTTCTAAAGCAGACTCAATCATAGTACAGAAAAAGACTTTATTGCCCAAACAAGGGTATGTTCTAAGGCATACAGGTCAGTAATAACCTCACATAGCAAAGACAACATGACAACATGTCATGACAACATGACAAGATTTTTTAGAAACTAAAAGTTAGTACAATGAGATTTTTTATGACCTTGGTAGCTAAAACAAGAGAAATTATAATAGGCAAAACTCCAAGAATGGAGATATTTTTCTCCAGCTTCATCATGCCTTAAAAAATAATAAATAAGTCCTTACTCTTACAGAAAAACCACTGTAAGATAAAAGGATAAACAAACTGAGAGACATAAGAAATCAGATTGGTTTCTGCAGCAGTCTTTGTGGCAGTCAGCTCTACACACACAGGCACGGGGCAAAAGCACTTTACATAACCACCTTTGACTGCCCACCAGTGCTCCCTGCCAATCTAACAGGGGCTGACAGTCTGGCATTTCACCAAAAAAAATTACAGAAACGGGATAGTATGAGGTAGACAAATCGGAAAACTTAGCAGTGCAATGCACATACGGGTTACTAGCATGAGGGAAAACAAGCCAGGGCGGCTCACAGCGGCTCAGCCCCCAGGGTTGGTTTAATCTAATTTGTCCTCTCTCCATCCCTTCTTTCTTCCAACCCTCGATTGAGACTAACCCTCCTTCTATTATTTAAGGTAAGAGCTATTTAATCAACTCTGCATCCTCTAAATTTTACTTCTAGCGAGAGAAAACGGAGTCAACATTATTACATCATACCAGACAGATTTATAAAGTAAGGTAGTATGCATGCACTCCCAAGGTCATTTCCAAGATTGTACTGAGGCTCCAACAGCTTCAAAAGAGCTTAAAGCATACTACTTCATTTGTGCCTCTGTCAGCATTTGCATTTCTCCCAGCCCTACCTTGGCCTGTCTGGGTTTCTGTGTAACCGCTTGCACATTAAGGATGTGAGATCAGGGAGGGAGGGAAACCAACCCCATGACAACAAGGTTCAGAAAGTGTGAAGCGTGGGTCAGGGTTTCACAACCAGCTGCTGTGGGTCTCACTCATAGCAGTACCCTCCATCCTGGAGATGCTTCCTTGTTCAAGCCTGTTCCAGGTTATCAGGTCCTGGTGGCTCCATGGAGACAGATGGGAGCAGAACAGCAGATGGAATTCTTCCCTAGCAGAAAGCAGCCTGAGGAATCCTCCATGGGAGGAATCAGAGATAATTCTTTGGGCTAGGGAACTCCTGGACAACCCAGCACAAGTGAATGCGTGTATCTTAACTCCAGCATGAAAAAGTCCACATTTTAATTTGCCTCTTAATACTTCTCTCTTCATTGGTTCCTGAGGCCCCAGGCTTGAGGATTATTTTGGACTGAAGGAAAGAAGGAAGACTTAATTTGACTTTCCCAGTGAATCTAGACTGCTTTCACATGAAAGAAAAGAAAGTCATCTCTTGTAGGAATACGTTTCAATTACTCATCAGTGTGGGTTGGCATGATTCAGAACTACTACACTATATAGAAATAAGTAACTTTTAAAAATCAGAACCAAGATAACTGGAGTAGTTATCTGCTGCACATATTTAGGTAGTGTCAGAGAGGGGAACCTGACACCACTTTCTGTGTCACTGGAGCCATCAGAAAGGAAGATGCTTTGCTCGCAATTGCCTTCTGGGGGACAGAATGGCAGTGTCCGAGAACCAGGGGCAAAAACCACATCCAAAAATCCAACATTCCAAAAACTCCAAACAAAACAAAACAAAACAAAAACACTAGAAAAAGTGCATTTATTTCAACTGTAGAAGACATTTAACTAATGTTTTCCACATGATGAATAAAGCGACTGTGAAATTCAAGGAAAACAATTCGACCACAAGGAAACTCCAGATACAACGACAATGCTAAAGTTGAATTTGGCCCCACAGCACTACAGTGACTGAGAGATGAGAGATGAGAGACAGGTCTTTAACCTGGTAGCCCTAGGTCACCCCTCTCCATTCCACAGCAGAGGCCAGTAGGATCATCCCAGTCGAGGGCCCCCAGTCCTCTGCTTCCCCAATCTAAAGCCCAGAACTGTTCTGCTACAAAAAAGATTCCACCTGCCCCAGCTCCAAGCACGGACACATATTAGCTGGTCAATGAGCCAGAACATCTGGCTTCCTCCCTCTACCTACTCCTTGAGGGTGGGGCTGGAGCTCCTCCTCCTCCTCCTCAGAGGATGATGAAGAGGGGATGATGAAGAAGATCTTCTCTTCTCAGAAGAGGATGAAGAAGAGATGTCTGGGAGTCAGGAAACGGTCATATTCGTCCTTTGCCCCTTGCTTAACACAGAAGGTCAAAAGTAGACAGACCAAAACTGAAGAGGGAGATTTTGTATGGGGGTGGGTGGGCACGAGAGACTTCAACCAACCAACCATCTGGATATGGTGAGTGCCAAGAAAACCTCCTTGTCCACCTGCCTAGGGTTCTTACACGTCCCCAAGGAGTCACCTCTGGCTGGGTCAAGAGAGCTGCCTCCTCCGCACCAAGAATACACGCCAGGATGGGGAGCCCAGCGCAAGAAGGCAGGGTGAGGTCTAAGTTGGGTTCGGGAAGGGCAGAGGCAGTGAGGGAGCGAGTGAGGGTCAGTTCGGAAGACCACGAGGAATCCCGACCGAGCGCCTGAGGGACAGCAGACAGCGGTGGGCCAGGCTGACTCCAGGCTCGGACCCGGGAGGCGGCACGGTGTGCGGGGACGCCGAGGCGGGCGTGGCCGCGGGGGTGGCTCACCGTGTCCTTAGACGACCCCAGCTTTTTGAGGCCGTCCAGCGGCAGCAGGTCAGCCGAGTCCTTGTGGATGAACTGCACCGCCTGCTTCATCCGGCGCTGCTGCCGCAGCGGCGCCGCGTCCCGCATGTCGGTCTCCTTGCGGGCGCCCTCAGTCAGGAGCCCTGAGTAAAACATCGCTGAGGCGCGGCGGCCCGGCAGCCCGGGCGCCCGCGCTCCTCACAGCCCTCGGCCTCGCGCTCCTCCAGCGCTGCCCGCAGCCGCGCGCCTTTTATAGCCGAGCGTGACGTCACGGGGAGCAGCCAGTGCGCGCGCTGGGGGCGGAGCCAGCACGGCGTCCCCCCCCCACACACACACACCCCGGCCCGGCGTCGGGGTCCCGCGTGGGCTTCGGGCCGGCGGGAAGCGAGCGAGGAGGGCATGGATGGATGGCTAAGCGTCCTCGGTGGCCGCTTGACCCAGGCGCGCTTTCCCGTGCGGGTGCCCCGCGGCACCTGAAGCGGGTTGGACTCTGGGACCCCTGGGTGCGAGCAGCGTCTCTCACATTAACCGCCGCCCCGGGGTCGCCCCGCTCACCTGTCCACGCCGTGGCTGACCCGGGGACCACCGACAGCTGGGCCATGCCCGAGCGCGTGCTGCAGTTGGGTCCCCGCAGAGTCCTCTCGGCCTCCACCGACCCTTCCCGGCCACCCTCCTCCCCGACGCCCTCAGGCCGGGCCCAGGAAGACCAGCGGCCAGCGGCCAGCGGTCAGCTCCGAAGTTGGCAGAGCTCCGGGTGTCTCCCACTTGAGCTCGGTCCCCACCCACCGGGCCACGTGACTGGAGAGAGGGCAGCGTGTGTTGGACGGGCCTGAGCCAGACCTTCCCGGGACCCTCCTCCTCCTGGCACCCACTGCTTGCAGCAGGAGCCGGTGCGCCTCGCTCCTGCTCACTGCCTGGGGCATCTCAAACTGAGCAGTGCGGTGGTCTCTCTTCCCTGCTTCCAGTGCTGCAAAAGGTTTCCGCGGCTGCTCTGAGCAAGACCCCCCAGTCGCGGGTGGGCTGCCCTCACCCACCTCGCTGCTCACTCCTCCTGGGTCTTCTTGGCTTGGCTCCCTGGAGAGACGTCGTTGTCTCTCTCTTGCCAAATGGCCTGCCCTTGAACATGCTGTTCCCTCTGCGCGGAGTGTCTCCCCGCCTCCCCCAGCTTGACTTCCCAGACCTGGAGCATTGTCCCAGTTTCCAAGGGCACGGACTGCTGGTGGGAAAACAAATCCAAGGTGGGCTGTCGCCTGGCCTCAAGGATTTCCCACACTGCCCCTAATCCGGTACCTTCCCACATAGGTGAAGGGCAGGGCCCTCAAGCTGCGGTAGGACGGTAGGACGGCTGCTCACCTTCCAGGCCCCTGGCACTTCTGAGGGTGAATGCCAGCGGCTTCTCTAGCCTCTTCTGTCCTGTTGCCTGGATCCCCGTCTGGTCACTCCTCCAGACGCAGACCGCCAAGGGCCGGGAGACAGCTTTGCCTTGTCTCTCAAGGATGAGCGCCTCTGAACTTGGCGGAGCCTCAGAACAGTGCCTACCCCTGGGGTTGGGGCTGGGACAGCTAGGCAGGTGAAAGCTGGGGGTAGGGGAGGGGAGTGGTTGAAATGCACGCTTCCCAGGCGGCTCTGTTCCCTCCTGCAGCCCTTCTCGCTGAGGACACCGGGGAAGAAAGGGGCTGTTCTCACAGCGACATCCCTCTGGGAACACGCAGAAGCCTGGATCTGTCTGGTTGAACTGGAATTTGGCCGTATCAAGTGTTGCTGAAAAATCAAATGGAGCCCGGCTGGCGCTGGGAATCTTTTTGTGAATTCAGAGCCCTTTACTGGAGGGGGATTTGTGTTCTGCAATCGGATCTGTGGCCACAATACCAGCCGGTTCCCTCACTGGTCAGACACCTTCTTCTGTCAGGCTGATACCGTCAATGCCCCTTAGCATAAGCCAGTGTGGGGAGGCCACTCCCCGCTCCCACCCCCCGCCAAACACTGAGTTGTTGCAGCCTGCAGACCAACTGCTCTGTTCCAGAAGAATCACCCAGTGTGGTATATCCAGTTCACCCAAGTGACCTTGAGTAAGTCACTGTCTGCTTTGAGCCTCACTTTGCAGGTCTGAAGAATGGGTGCAGCGAGCTTGCATATACAGTTGGTCTTTAAAAAACTCTTGAGGGCTACCCCCACAAAGAAGATTATTACCCATTCTCTGGATGATCTCCTTGTTCCAGTGATCCATCTTGGAGGAAACATCATGGATGTATTAAATCCACAGGCTTTGGAATCCAGTACACTGGGTTCAGATCCCTGCGGAGTCACTTACTAACTGAATACTAGCAAGTTACTTCTGCACTGTGAGCTTTTAGTTGCAGGAAACAGGACCCGTAGCATTGGCAAGTTTTGGGACAGCTCTGAGGCTCACATGAGACCAAAGTGCATTATGTATGTGCATGGGGCATGGGCTTTGCAATTGGTGCCCACCATCGTTATCTGGGACAACCTCAGGGTGCCCCTCTAGTCTCCTTACAGAGAGTCAGGCCCTGGGCCTCCTGCTGCTCCCTGTAGCTCAGGTCTCCCAAGGCAGGGGCTGGTCAGCCTGCTTCCTCTCACTAATGGCTGGATTCTGGATTTACCTTGTCTAGTGACTCCCTCCCAAAATTCTCCACATCCTTTGCTGTAGCAGAGAATCTGTGCGTGGACACCATACTAGAGCAGGCAGGGTTCTTCTTTTTATTTATGTTTTTCATATGAGGGACAAACCCAATTGGAAGTGCTGGAAGCAAAAATGCAAGATTTTGACCCCCTTCATTTATAAGTGTAAGGATTCCAGGCATGAATGGATCCAGCCACTCAAATGACATGATCCCAATGTACCAGCTCTGGCGGCCCCTTGGCTAATGCCCTCTTCTTTCTAATTGTGGTCATCAGCTCCAGGCTTACAACCTGTTCTCCCAGCAACACCCCTATCTTCAGCTCCCATGGAGGCCTGCCTTTGAATCCACTTGCTCTGGCATTTGTGGCTGTCCTGGGAGTGAACCAGCAAATGGAAGATCTTTCTTTGTGTCTGGGCTTCTCTCTGTAACTCTGCCTTTCAAATAAGAATAAGTAAATCTTGAGAGCGAGAGAGAGACAGAGAGAGAGGTTGTGATGTCAGGCTGAGAGGCCAGAAAATTAACAAAACAAATAAACAAAAAGCATATAGGGGGAGAGAGACCTGCCACAGAACTGTCTCCCCCTTCCTTCTCCACTGAAGCTTTTGACCCTGGAAGTTAGCTGGCCTCTGTCTAGGCCCTCTTCACTCACCTCCTCCTTTCCTATAGCTACAGAGCCTCTTGCTCCTTTAGCATCCTTGCCGCCCCCTGCCTTTGGCAGGAAGATCCTTCACTGCAGGTGCCAGATGTGTGCCAGGCTCTCAGGCTGTGTCTGCCCAGGACTTGGCACTTAGCCCTGCAGGCTGTGTCTGCCTTGGCGGTGCAAAACAGAGTGAGGAGGTATTTCTCTGCTCTTCCTTCACAGTGGTTCCCAGCCCTGCTGAGGCATCCCGAAGTGGAGCTGATGGCAGCTCTGCTGATGCTTCCCAAAGCTGGTGGGCCATTGGAGCCCTTCCGGCCAGTGATGACCTCGCTTCCCTTCCTGGGGGGAGGGCAAGCTTTGCCCTCGAGTTAAGCAGCCAAAGAGAAAACATGTCAGAACCTCAAGCAGGAGGATGTGATGGAAGTTGGGGAGGAAGGAGACTTTGGGCCCAGCTTTGAATCTGGCTGTTTCCAACTCCCTGTGGGACCTTGGCCAAATGACTGAAGCCCTCTGAGCCTCAGTTTACCCACACTGCATGGCTGTGCGATTTACAGATGACATGTGAGACAGGGCCAGACACAAAGCAAGCCCTGAAAATACACATCATTGTGGTCTTCTTCCTCTCCTCTCTCCAACATAGGTAGAGAGCCTGGAAGAAGAGGAGCCCCAAGGCCCGTGGAAAATGCTGCCTAAAGATGACACCTCTGTGAGGACAGCGGTGCCCCTGCCTGACCCACATGCTCTGGATCTGTTTATGTCAGCCCAGGCTGGAGCAGAGGTGGCTGTGGACATCTCACTGGGGCTCCACTATACCGTGGGAGCACCCAGAGTTTCCCTTGGAGGAACTAAGCATGCTGCATGGCCTGGCCAGGAGAGGTTACAGGGCCAGGGGGTGAATGACAGCAGAGAGGTGGGACACTAGATGGGATGTGTGGGGACTTGCAGGCATGCACACCACACACATGCTCATGGTCACATTTGTAGCATCCATGCTGATTTGTTTTCACACACCTATATTCCCAGGGAGCAAAGTCATTCCTGATGGTTTTTGTTTTTGAAACCATTTCAAATGTACAAGAAATTGCAAACACAAGAACAGAAATAAAGAAGACCTCTGTGTCCTTTAGGTAGATTGTGTGTTACTAATGTTTCACTCCATTTGCTGTATCGTTCACATCTTACAACATACACACATGCATGAACCTTGTTTAGCCTGAAGAAGAAGGGTTGCCAGGCTTGTGTGTGTGTGCCATTCCTAGTCTGATAAAGCTGTCTTAACAGACTTGGAAGAGCTCATTTCCCCTTCCCAGCTCAGAAGGGAAGCTGTGCTGTGAGACCCCACATCAGCTTGGAATTTGCTAGAACACGTTCCACCTGTACCTAACAGACTCTCTGGACCAGTAAAACCAAACAGCCCACCAAAGTCTGAGCCTTATTAAAACAATGTGTTTCTGCTTTAACTTTTGAGGTCATGAAGTGGGAGTAGTAAGGGTGGTAACTATGCTAGCTGATCTCTGCTGGGCCCTTCCTGCATGCAAGACAGTGCTCAAGTGTCCCACAGTGTCCCACACTTACACGGATTGAGTTCTCTTGATGCTGCTCTCCACTAGGGGTCGTCATGCTCTGCATTTACCATCTGAGAAAGCTCAGAGAAGTCACTCGTTCAAGGTCACATGGGTAACCACAGTACTGAGACACAGTGACAGATGTGAGACTCCTGGGTGGGAGAGAATGAGCATGATGACCTGCGAATGTCAGAAAAGGCACCTCTCCCTGCAGCTAGCCGGCAGAAGGCACTTTCCAGAAAGTTCCACTGACGACACGAGGAAGGGGACTGTGGGTTGGAAAGGCTGCTTGTGTGACTACAGGCCCTC